ATTATTATTCATTGCATAGACGTCATTGAGTCTTAGGCTAAGAGAAACACTCCACTACGACGTCATCACGTGACGTCTATAAATAGAAAAATTGCCTTAATGAAAAAGTGAAAAGTTCAACACTACCCCGAAGACAATTCATTTCTTTTGGTGAAAATAATTATGTAAAAACATCATTGGGCCAAGAAAAGTGCTGCTAGAATCCTACTTCCCCGACACAGAAAAAAAATATTCCAAAGTTTCGCATGAAACCTTACCAAAATTTTGACATTTTATACATACGATCAAGGAATTGTTATCAATTCGTGTTAACCACACGATTCTAGCAGCACTTTCCAAGTACTATAGAATACAAACTTTCCATACAAACAAAAATTATGTTTCAAAGTATGCGGCGTAGTGTTGAACTCTTGCATCTTTTTTTGTTATAGAACGACAGAGGAAAGGCGGATCGGGATTTCAAAGCACTTCCTGTGTTTATTATAAGAAAACATGATAGGATATATAAGCGTGTCTGATTCTTAATCGTTAATTCCTTATGAATCACACATAACATTCACGGTATATGCTTTAAAACTCCAATTTCATATATTTGTTTACATGAATTCTCGTCACCTTCAATTTCACTCGGCAAATATTTGATCAATAGTTATGACGTCAAATGATTGGTATTTAAACCCCGTGCTGAATACTTAGCTATTTATACCACCCAAAAACGACAAGATCTAGTAAATATAGATATTAAGAAATCATTATTTATAAAATTCACATCATACAGCTTACTATGACGTCATATTGTAAAGGCAAGTAGGATATCTTTTGGTGTAGCCTTAACAAACCCGCTCGCCTTTTTGACTTGAAAATTTGCAGCGATAGTAATGTTGTTTTAATGAAGGAAAGAGTACAGAATTGGTGTTTTTATCATTTTTGATGATGAAATGTATAGTGTTTATTGCAAGTTGACAGAGTTCTTCCGCCGATTAAGATGTTCAGAAGAGAGCCTATTTTGATAAATTACATATGATTTACCATTTCATAAGGAGTTACGACTGCCTTTTTAATTTGAAAAAGGCAATTTCTTGCATCAATGTGACCTACTTAATGACAGAAAAAACGGTATCCTGAGTGGTCAGCTGTTAATTACACAAAATCTACCCATATAACTATGACGGAGGCTTGAGGAAAAAACCCAAAACGAAACAGGTTTCCAGGTTTTAACATAAAAAGTTAAAGAAATGGAATTTCGAGTTTATTCTGTATCTTATGAATATTAATGAGAAATAAATCACGTGGAGGCAATCTCAAGAATAAATTGTACACCATTTCTCCATATGATGAAGCTGACCAGCAAAAATTCAGTATGTGTTCATACAAATATGATTTTAATAATGAAATAGTAGAATTTATATAGGATTGCAGCACTTTTCAAAAAATACAATGGGTGTTAAAATTATTTAAAAATTAAACTTCGAATTTTAACTTGGTTATGTGCTTGCACTATTGAAATTTATAGGTGACCTCAATACTGCAAGCATATGTGGAAAAATCACGTAACTGCCACATCACGTGACAAGTCTAAATAGAAAATCTAATCGTCCTCAATATGTAGTTAATAACCAATCTAATCGTCCTCAATATGTAGTTAATAACAATAATTACATTTGTCCGATATTAGTTAAGTACAAAAAAGAATCGCCATCCTGAAATAGAAAATATTTTGTAACATGAAAAATCGCCGATATTTCCATTGCGCACCTTAACTGTACTGCGTACGAGATGCAATATTAAAGGTGCACGTATTAAGAATATGAAATAATGATAAATGATGAATGTCTGACTTATTGCATCCTTGAGTTCCATTAGCACTACCGGTAAATTATATTTGATTGATAACTTAAATAAATCAGTTTTCACAGTGAACATTGTAGAACTTCAATGTTTTAATAGTGGCAGCGTGATCACTATAGTAAATCAAAGTTTTCATACTGATCACTATTGTAAATCAAAGTTTTCAAAATGATCACTATAGTAATTTAAATTTTTCAAAGCGTCAAAGTTATCACTATGATAAATCCGTTTTTCATAGATATCACTATAGTAAATCAAAGTAACAAAGTCATCACTATAGTAAAACTATAGTTTTCATAGTGTCAAAGTTGTCCCTATAATTCAATATAGCAAATAATAGTTAACTATATATATATATATATATATATATATATATATATATATATATATATATATATATATATATATATATATATATATATATATATATATATATATATATATATATTGCTAGGGTGGTTGACACATATCCTTGCAAAATAAAATTAATCCCTAATATTTAAAAAAAAAAAATAGAGTTTCTTGAGCGGTAATGAAAAAATGTCCAGAAAATTCAGAGTAAAATCGTTAAAAACGAAAAGCAGTTTTCGCGGGTCATTTTCTTGATGTGTTCAGAGTTATCAAATTGAACCAAACCGGTAAAACGTAATTATAGAGATTTTTTCCGTGAAATATGGAGATAACGAACAGTATTTGAGATATACAATATATATATATATATATATATATATATATATATATATATATATATATATATATATATATATATATATATATATATATATATATATATATATAAATGAAATTGGAAACAGTGCAAACGCGGACATCCAAAAACATCAGTTTTTGGACTGAGCATCCCTTCCGACCGGTCACAACTATTGTTACAAACGTTAATGTTTAAATTAATGTCCCATTGCTGAGCTAACGACCGAACAACATCTTACTGAAATAAACTGTTCAATTCTAAATCTTAAATTTGTGTAAAATTGAGAGGGGGGGATGACTGTTTTTTAAACTATATTTTCAATTGAATTTCAAAATGATTATTCATCTTTGATTTATTAAACACAGAGGCTTCATAGGAGTACTTAAATATGTATTAATAAATGTACTCAACGTTCTTATTTTACATGCATAATTGCAATGTTAAATGTCCCCTTCATGTAAACCCTTTAACACATTTCTCGTATAATAAAAAAAAAAAAATATGTTACAATGTAGTTATTTCTGAAGACTTTCCTATCTTAGTAAGTTTTCACAATGCATATTCAATTGTGAATAATGTTTGGAATGCAAAATACGAGGCTTGTCCGGTAAAATCGTGGACAAAGCGTTTTTATCGAAATATAATGGGTGCACTTAGTTGAAATTTTCAGCAAATGTTTATTTATCATACTTAAGTGCATCTTAATTTTTTTGATAAAATATAGACAAAAATAATGATGTTATTATGATTCAATATGTACTGGGCACGGCCCTACGGCGCACGATCAAAATATAAGGGTTTCATTAGAGAATACACTAGTATTTTTTTTTTTTTCGAAATAAAAGTATTAAAAAGACAGTGCTGCGGAAAAAATTATCCTATTTTTAATCCACTATCTATTATGTCGTCTTTTGGAATATTTCGAGGCATTTGCATAAATTTTGGCAGTTTCCCGAACACTTGTGTGGGGAAGTGGATAACATAACACAAGAAAACGGCGACGTTTGATCATGTTACGGTGTAAAGACGAATAATGACCCCAAATAGAATAATGACCGGGGAGTCATATGTCAACTACAAAAAATAACCCCCAGCCGTAGAAAAAAAAAATGATTTTTTTGTAGAAAAAGAGTCCTAGGGGTCATTTTTTTAATGTGTGCGTCCTATAAAAAATTGACCTCCGTTGAAAAATGACCCATTTTCCAACAGAGTGGATGATACAAAAACTTATAACATGTAATTGATGCAAAGGTTCGAACCTCAATGTTCTTCTTTATGCCCTTTTTAACCAACACTGGACGAACGCGCAATTAAAATGCAATAAAACAGCATTACATTTTCATGCATATTTCTATCTTTTAAGCCTATTGTGTTCTCAGCACATATTGAAAATCGCAAAATGGCTACTATTGATTAATATGGTGATGGTGCGACCGTTAGGGCGAGCGCAGATACCTATTCAGTTTTAATTTACACCCGTCTCTTCAAACCGCATGTGACATTCGGTACGTCGATCTAGACTCTGACGTCACATTTGACGTCGTATGTAAGTTGCAATACCAAATGGAAGCCTGAACAGTGCTAGTTTTAATGAAGAGACTTTAAATGACTACAGAAGAAATAAAATTAAAAACAACACTAGATCTTTAGTATACTATTGAAATGAGATTTTTCAAGCGGAAGCTTTTTCATCGAGTCCCAGGGTAGAACAAAACATACGAACAAACAGCTACTGGCAATAGTGAAAGACGATGTCACTGTAGACCGTCGATATAACATAGCCTATTTAGTTGAATGGTCGTGAGAGTACTGTCTATAGCATACTAAGTATATGTTGGTAAACTTTTCCCGAGTACCATGAGATTTGGTGCTGAGCGAAGCGAGGCACCGAATCGAATGGCGAGGGAAAAGTTTAACAACATACTTAGTACATGTTTCACACGAGAAATTAAACCTTTTGTGTCTCTATTTCATTACAATTCTTTGTGTGTTTCTTGATATTTAATCAAGATAACGATGATTTGATCCTGACTGTTGCCATTTTGTACAGGCCCAAAGAGCAAAGAGGAAACGTAACGCTGCTTAAGACACTTTGACGTTTTCATCCGTGCGCCGTAAGGCGACACCACATAACTTAAAATCTCATTTTTTTTTAGCATATGTCTATTTGAAATTTGCTATGTTTATTGATGAAAAATGTACTCAAGGGTAGTGAAAATTTTAAATCGCAGTGATGATTATTTTTCACTCTAGACAACTTGTCCACGATTTTACCGGACAACCCTTGTATATTGTATTTTGACAGGGGGTGTAGATAGAGATTACAACTGATCATGTGAAATTTAGACGTTATGCATGTGAAGTGGTTCAAGTGCTCACGTTGAAACATTGTGAATGCTTAAACGACGTATGAAAAAGATAATTCAACACACAAAATGATTACCGGAAGTCGCTACTGCAATGCAGATCATCTGGTTGTCTAAGCATTTCTTTCTCCTCTTTAACGTCTACTTTTTCTTGAATATCTGTTCCCTCTATTGCATCATTTTTTTCATGTTTCTGCTGCTTTGTAATGCCTTCCATATTTCTTTTATTTTGTTTCTTGGTCGATTCTGCGTCCATAGATTTCTAGAGTACGAAAAAAAATCGTTAATATGTATTTAAAATGGAGATAAAATATCAGTCACAATTTGAAGCTTTAGTGACTAAGAACATTGAAGTTTACCCTCTTCTTCCTAAAAGAAAACCCCAAAAGTTTACATATTTTAAGAAACTACGCATTTAAATAACGTTTATACGTAACTTTTGTCTGATTTAAGAAATATCTTTACTCACTATAAATTATGGTGAGCGCCAGTTGCAGACTGCAAATCTTTAACTGTCTGAATTTTAAAGTAATGCGATTGAAAAAAAAAAAAAATTAAAGTGCTTTAAAAGAACGATTCATAAATAGATAAGTAAATACTAATAGAAGATCTTCCAAGTCATTTTTTTTTCTGACAAAAAATTGATAACAGCATTCGATAGACGGATGGAGCCTACTTTTTACATTTTTGGAATTGTAAAGAAGTCAATTAATTATATATCTAAAACCAGTATATTTTATTGTAATCCCAAACAAAATAGATTTGTGTTTATTCACTCGTTTATTTATTCTTTTTGTAAGACTTTTGCCTTTCAAAGTCTAAAGAAAATTGTCTATTCGAAAGCGTCTGAAGGCTTTCTGTAGAAATTCCGATTTTTAATAGCAGTGAGCCTCTGATTGATAGGAATGTTTGTAAAGAAATAAAAGTGCAGGAAAAAGAACATAATATATGATAAGGTGCATGAATACGATTTTCTACATATGATAGACAAATTACATTTCATTATGAATTGTGGCCTCAGAACTTGCAATTTGCAATGCCTGGATGACTACAAACGTATCTGATCTGCTAAATGAAATGCAATTAACTCCAGGAATGTAAGCAAACTGTTTGAATGCATAGATATAACTTTAGAGACACCTACGTTTTTTTTCAATATTTATTGCAATTCATTTTGATAACCATTGCTTTATGAATAATAAAACTCAATCCAGCATTGAGGCACATGCAGTGCCTAAGCCTTAAACATGGTTATTCTTCTTTCAATAAATGTATTTTTTTTAAATGACAGATTTCAATATCATTGAAAGATAGTGGATGTTGATATGTAAAAGTAAAAGTGTAAAAGTCACAATTTATTGTAAAAGGGATGTTTCATCTGAACTTGAAAGCTTTTAAAATTTTATGCATACACATCACATACTTCAAAGATAAAGAAAAATGAACAAAATCAGGGTATTGAGATTTCTCGTTCCGTCTTTTTTTTTTTTTTTTTTTTACAGAAAATATAGGATTTTACCAAAGGGAAGTTTTTTTTTATTTGAAGATGGGAAAAATAGGTTGATAATATTTTGCACAATAAAATTCATTTAAAAGACATCTTTATTTCATTGTTTCCTATTCATTTACCGTTTTGATATACCAATTTTAGTAATTGCAGCAGTTCCCGTTACGTTTGTACTGTTGTGATCAGAGAGACCCTTCAAAGTCTTACTGGTAAATCTTTAATGAGGAGTCTTGCAATTCGTTTTAATTGATATACTGCGTATGTACGTATGTACGCTAGATCTGATCTAGCACTTTGCAATATAAAATGTTTATTAACATAAAAAAGGTACCTACCTTTAAGGCCAATATTCTTTAAAACATCATAAAGCTTCCTTTTAACAATAAGATTATTACTTCATAACTTCAACATTACAATGATCTCGCTAAGGTATCAGTTTAAATGAGAGTTTCAAGGCCTCTATCTGCGGGTGCTTGTAAAACGTCATTAAACATTCAAAGGATTAAAGCATTTATTGTCATTGCTCAAAGTCGATCGTCATGCAACATGCATTGTATTTCAGTGCCTTTAACAAATAAGAATAACCGATGCAATATCGATATCATGACAGGACCTGCGTTTAAATTGATTTTGAAACATAATTTTTCTTTGTTATCGGGAAATCGTTACGTTTTCAAAAAGATAATAGGGAAACATAAATAGCTGACGTATTTCTTTTACTGTATGCATATTGCATATATACCAATGTCTGGTCTATGCTTATCACAGTACAAACAAAGGAACTCAGATAATTATCAATGCGCGTATGAGAATATTGCTATTCTTTAATAACAAGTACACATGTAAGGTTCGTAAGGTGAATAAGCTCATGTGATATTACAAACTGTACATTTTATAGCACTTTAAAGAGTTCATTAGTTTGTAAAATACAAAAGACCATGAGAAATGCTCTTTATCTGTTTGCACCATTCTGTTATTGGAATTCAATTCTCACTTTTTCAACAATGGATACTCTCATAGCAGATTTGCAACGCATGTTTAAAAAATCAGCGGAAGTTTTAAGGAACAATAGACCCATCGGACACATTCTTCGTAAAAAAAAAAAGTCATGCAAGGTTGCCTTCCCCCCCCCCCCCCCCAGTAAATTCTAGTCTATCCCAGGTTAAATTTTACACAGATTAATAAATGGTATATTGTATACCATCTTCAATGAGCAACAAAGTATGCTTGTAAAATCTGGGGTTTTTTTTTCATTTAGCTTTCAATGCCTTTCTTTGTCTGGGTGAAGTGGTACCCGGTAGTTAAATTGAAAAGTCTAACAAAGAAAGGTATTCAATTAGAGGATGTTTTATTCGTCTTAGATGAAAACTAATCTATTAGACACTAAGGAAACTTAAAAACAAATAAAACAAAGGACTTCTTCCAGATCCACTTGAAGGCCTTGAAGATAACGTCATGTGCCCTGCGCATACCTTGTATGGATGTAATTACTTAGTATTTGCACAATATTGTCCTTTATAAACGCGAACATGGATCCACATACAATACTCATAATAAAGAAGATCATATTGTTCCAAGTTGCAGATTAAAATTATTCAGAAATACCTGATGCTATAAAACAATGGAATTATTAAAAATAGAGGTTAGGGAAGCCATCTCAATTAATTCATTCCGAAAAAACTTGGTAGGAAAACTCAAAAATCCACCATCATACTTCTTTGTTGGAAAGCGATATACCAATATTATTTATACTAAGCTAAGACATTATTGTATACTAAACTATGATTATGAAAACTAATTTATTGGACACTAAGGAAACTTAAAAACAAATAAAAGAAAGGACTTCTTCCAGATCCACTTGAAGGCTTTGAAGATAACGTCATGTGCCCTGCGCATACCTTCTATGGATGTAATTACGTATTATGTTAGTTACTAACTGTCTACGGAAATATAGTATACCAAGCTTCAATAACAAAGTGCCAGGGACGGACGATTTTTATTTGTTATAAACGTAATTCTTAAATCTGTTATGTCAACAATATATTTTAAAGCCAAGGGTAATGCAAAAAACTTTGCTGTCAGCGTCAATTCATTATTTATAAGCTAAACTGCTATCAGCGAGCTTTACCGTATACCGGATGAATCAATTGATCTCATAGACGGCGATGCATTTCTGTAGACAGTCAGTAACAAACTTATTAAGTGATTTTTTTGTCTCGAAGATTAATATGAACAAAAGACACACTGGAACACAGGATTATAAACACAAGGCAGTCCCGTAGCAACGTTCAGGCTAAGCAAAAAAAAAAAAAAAAAAAAAAAAAAAAAAAAAAAAAAAAAAAATATGTGTGGTTCCCATTACACCTCCAAAAAAGTAGGGTAGGTAGGTAGGTAGGGATTTTTTAAAAATGATTTTCTATTTTTTTTTTTTTTTCTAAATAATACCTATCACTGCTTTGATTCTTACTTTTCGTGTACTGTATTCTGCTGAGAGAGACATAAGCTTTTATTACGATTATACATTCTTAAATAAATTAAAAATATTAATTTAACAATTAATCTCGAAAAGATACATGTGTGAAATTTGTATATTAGACTGAAGGCGGACCTTTTATTTTAGAGCCAGACCGGACCTTATGTTTTATTATATACCCAAGTTTGTATCACTCAATTTTACTGTAAGAGTTGAATTTATGCAATCACGTGATGGTGTGATCCGACGTTCTGGATGATCAGATTGTGGTTTTCTGAATCCAGATCACCCCTCTCTGAAACTGATGACGTAGTACACAAATAAATGTTGTTTTTATTCTCGCGGATCAAAAATTCCTTGATAAAATGGATTGCTTAATGGATAAAAGTTGAGCAATTGATCCAAAAAGACTTCTTTTATTATAATTTGCTAACTTTAAAGGGGTATATAATAAATTTATCGTTACAACAGTAACTTGCAATTGATCCGACCTTTTATCGCATTAGGTCCCTTCAGACCAAATATTATGCGACCCCGGTCGTCAGGGGATGTTGACTTCTCCATGGCACCCCATCGCATCTCTGCGAATTCTAGGGGTCTGTTCTTTTCCGCCATGTTCACAGATTTCTGTTGTTTTTTGGTTTTGAAATCAATCAATGTTCCTTATCATCATCATTTTTATTCAAATGTAAATCGAAAGAGGGTAAAATCGTTAAAAGTTGTTTAAGAAAAATTATAAAGCTTACTAGCGTATATTAAAGAATCCCTTTTAGAAGCCCTTACATGACGTATTATTTATTCCAGCATCTGCTACTTGGGTTAACAAAGCGTTATGCAATGATCCGATTATTTGTTAAGCATTTAGAGGTAGTTAAACTCCTCTTTTTTTTTTAAATGTGATAAAAAGAAAACATCTCTTTTATCGTTCATAACACATTTTCCCATATTGATTTTATTTCAGTTTGCTGGAATAGCAAATGTTCATGTCAATCGCTCATTAAATTCATAATGATATTGATTTAAAAATGTTCCACCACCCTGTGCTTGAAGATTTTCTATTGCAGTGCTTGTGAATGTAATAACTCACCATTCTCAAGCATAAAATATCATGAAGACACTTTTCATTCAATATAAAATTCAAATCTGAATTCTCTTCTCTCTAGTATATTGAGCCGAAAATCAATAGCCTTTTGAAATGTGATAGAAATGTGGGGGGGGGGGGGGGATGAGTAAATAA